AAAAGATATAGGTGGGAAGTCCCTTAGGTTAGATAAGCGCAATATCAGTATTCCAGTGAAAGAGGGAGAATTAAGCTTCAGAAGCCCCTTTTAGCAGCTTCATCCAACATGGCATACCTTTCAATTTAAATGGATGTAAAATTGGCGACGCTGAAATATAAGTGCAACGAGGGTGTTTTTTTTTTCAATTTGACAATTACAAGGACAGTTGTTGACCTCGCAATCATCAATTATACATCTGATGACGCTGACATAACTAATATTTCATCACTATGCTTGAATGGTTGAATGACTACGGGACTGCCCACAATTTCTATTTGAATAATGCTAGAGATACTAAGATAATAACATTAGAATACAAAATTGGCTTACAATGTGATGTGCCGGTTTCTTATTGGGTGTTTGAATATGGTCCACTTGAATTTCCTCTCATAGTTTGCCACATCACTTGTAAACCGACTTTGTATGTCGATTTTGGTTTCTCTAGCATGGCCTTGTATTATTTGGGCGTCATGCTTCACTTCATTGCAGATTGATTAGGCTGATGGGTTGTCCTTTCCCTGCTGAGTATTTTAGTTAGAAGTATTACATTGATTTATGTCTGCATTGATGCCAATTTATAATCCTTTCTTGCTCCATCTACAATCAGGTTGTTGGAACCTTATTCACTCATCACCAAAAATGCGTCATCGTGGATACACAAGCTTATGGAAACAACAGAAAAATAACTTCTTTTCTTGGTGGCTTAGACCTTTGTGACGGGCGCTATGATACACCCGAACATCGACTATTTCGGGACCTTGACACAGTCTTTGAATATGATTACCATAATCCAACTTTTCCAGTGAGTGCCTGTGTTTTGAACTCCTCTTCTTTACAATGCTAGATAATCCCATTTTGTTTGGGTTAGAAATTTTCTTTGCATAATGATTCTTTAGAGAGATTCTTTGTTAGTCGAGAAGACAGAGAATGCTCAACTGATCTATTTCAAAAATTAATGTATGTCTAACCAAAAATAAAATAAATTTACTGCTTTATGCTTTCTGTTTGTAAGATGAACACATCAAATGCAGATTCTTTCTCATAGAATAGGGACTTAAATAAAAACACTATCTAGGCTTGACAGATTGAATTATTTTAAAAATTGTGACCTGATTTTAGACTAATCGAAACTTTAACTTCACTTTTTGTTTTTTTTTCCTCTTGTATAGGTTGCTACTAGGGGTCCAAGACAACCATGGCATGATTTGCATTGCAAGATTGAAGGCCCTGCTGCTTATGATGTACTAAAGAACTTTGAGCAGCGATGGAAAAGGGCCACAAGATGGTCAGAGTTTGGTCAACGGTTTAAAAGGATATCTCATTGGCATGATGATGCATTGATAAAGATAGAGCGCATCTCATGGATACTAAGCCCTTCGACATCAGTTCCGGATGATGATCCAACTCTTTGGGCTTCCAGGGAGAATGATCGTGAGAGGTGGCATGTGCAGGTAATATGCATCATTGAACCCGGTTGTCAAATGATGAATTTTCTGGTGCATTTATTCAACTTTTTTTTTTTTTACTTGACAGATATTTAGGTCTATAGATTCTGGCTCACTGAAAGGTTTTCCAAAAGATGTGTATGAAGCTGAGTCTCAGGTAAGATTTTAGCTAAATAAGTAACACTAACTGACATCCTCTTATCCAATACCTCACTTTGCATACATTTATAGTGGTCCATCATGGTACTTATTTCTTCTGCAGAACCTTGTCTGTGCAAAAGATTTGGTGATAGACAAGAGCATTCAGACTGCCTACATCCAGGCAATCAGATCAGCTCAACACTTCATTTATATTGAAAACCAATATTTCCTCGGATCATCATTTGCATGGCCATCTTACAGAAATGCAGGTTTTGGCACCATCCATATGCTTTTTATTTTTCACTGTGATAAATGCTACAATTTGGAATATCATGGATGTTTTTTGGGGAATCAATATTTATTGCTCACGTCATATTCCCTAAATATTGGGATGTGTTTTTGTTTATTGTCTATCTAGCAATTTCTTAGGTATGTACTGCTGGTTACAGGCATATATATTAGCTTACGTTGCAATTTTTTATTGTCTGTGGCATGATTCTTTTGGTACTTGAGGGACGTCTATCTGAAAATTTGTTCTCTTATGTAGTCTGCAGCATTTCTTACTCATCAAGCTGTGCATCTTTCCCCTCCTTTTCATTTGATTAGGTGCTGATAATTTGATCCCCATGGAACTGGCCCTAAAGATTGTCAGCAAAATTAGAGCAAATGAGAGATTTGCAGTTTATGTAGTAATCCCGATGTGGCCAGAAGGGGTCCCTTCCTCTGCCTCGGTGCAAGAAATTCTATATTGGCAGGTAATTTGATTCCTCCAGTCAGCACTTGTATGAAGAAGTGCCGCGCCAATATATTTTACTTGGGGGGAGCATACTTTATGTTTTTCCTTCTTTCATGTTTCTTTTTCTTTTTTGTGTGTGTTGGTGTGTGTGTGTGTGTGTGTGTGTGTGTGTGTGTGTGTGTGTGTGTGAGAGAGAGAGAGAGAGAGTCTGTTTTGCATTACGCTTGGCATTGTCTTTTCACCTTTGGACGGAAGCTGCAAAAAAAAATATCAAGGCTACGGGGAAGAACCTTTGATATTGAACTTACTCACTGTATTTGCAGAGACAAACGATGGAGTTGATGTATGAAATTATAGCAAAGGAGTTGAACTCCATGGGTCTGGAGAATGCACATCCTTGTGACTACCTGAATTTTTACTGTCTTGGTAACCGCGAGGAGCTTCCCAAAGAATTGTCAGAGCAGAATCAACCGCCCAGTGATGGTGTTAAGGTAGCTACTGCAGAAATGTCTACCTCTGTTTAGTTAAGGAGTCTGTGATGCTACCACTGCCCGCAACAACAAAATCATAATGTAGTTCTATGAACTTTTTCCTTAAAGACATATAGTATCCACATCTGAACCCAACTTTGACTGGAAGACAAATTTAATTGTGAAATGTGGAATGCAGACTGGGCTGGCTAACTTTGGTCCCTCTCGGGACCAGATCACCTCTGCTTTTTTTTTTTTTTTTTGTGTTTAAGTTACCATGCACCACTTTCCAATTTTCACTTAAACAAACAAAGAAGTCAATGACCATGAGCATTATTTCCATATTGATGTCTCAGATTTCAGCATCTCAGAAGTTTCAGAGGTTCATGATCTATGTACATGCCAAAGGAATGATTGTGGATGATGAGTATGTGATACTTGGATCGGCAAATATTAACGAACGATCAATGGCTGGTTCAAGGGATACCGAGATTGCCATGGGTGCATATCAACCCCATTACACATGGGGTGAGAAAAAGAAACATCCCTTGGGCAAAAAAGAGAAGAAACATCCACGTGGCCAGGTGTGTAATCTCAGTTTCTCCATTCTCCAATAATGCCTTTTCATTTAAATCTCTGCTTTTCCTTGCATTTCATTTTGATACGAGCAGTCTATTTTTTTTTCTTTTTTTCCTTTTTTCACTTTTCGGGTTTTATAATTCTCAATATTAATGTTGACATTAAGTGCACTTCTTTGAAAGTGATTTTGTTGAGACATTGTTAATATGTTTCATTCCTTCTAAATGATATTTACAGATATATGGGTACCGCATGTCACTATGGGCCGAGCATCTGGATGTGGTAGATGATCGCTTTGAGGAGCCAGAAGACTTGTCGTGCGTGAGAAAAGTGAACAAGATTGCTGAAGAAAACTGGAAGAAATTCACTGTAGAAGAATTCACGCCATTGCAAGGGCATCTTCTGAAATACCCTATAGAGGTGGATACAAAAGGTAAAGTTAGTGCCTTGCGTGGACAAGAGTGTTTCCCAGATGTCGGTGGTAAGGTGCTCGGCACTCGCACTAACCTTCCCGATGCTTTAACAACATAGTTTCTCCTGGCATGTACATTATGTTCTGTTGTACTCTCATGCCTCACCATCTCAACGGGGAAGACAACCGTGAGATGATTCAGTTTTGGAGCGGATGGATAAAAGGTGTGTTCGGTAGATGGGAGGGGTCATACATTTCTTTTTCCTGTTAAGTTATTCTTCTTTCAAAGTTATTGGAGCTTCCTGAAAGAAAACTTTTCAGTGCCGTAACTTAATAAGTGTGAAGAGGAGGGAGTTCTATCGTGTGAAGAGCTGATTGTAGCCGCTGTTTTCGAATTGTCATTGTTGTTGTAATTGAAGAGGGGGAGGCGAGTGTTTGCTGTTGTATCAGTGTATTATTTCTCCATAACAATCGACTGTATCTTACAGAACCTGGGAGGAAAGTTATCAATGATAATACCGATATTCGAACGGATTTTCGGTGTTCAATTTTGGCTGCGTAACTGCTAAAGGAGTACATAGCTCCTGGAATTCCTCTCTGAATACGGCAGCATTCTACGCGGATAATGCCCATGGGTTTACTGGCAGTCATTTCGCACACCATGGAAGTGAAGATGAGACATGGCTAATGCTCAATGCTATATCTATGGTAATCACATGCAAACATAAATGTGTATGTCCGTGTGTTTTTCGTGTAAGTGATAAAATTAGACATAAATTAAGGTCGAGAGGATCAATGGGACTAAGCTCACAGATTTGAAGGACGGAGGTGACTGCATGTAAAGGAAGATGATTCCATGTTGATCATTACTATAATTCGTGCCAAGTATCTCTGAAATATGTCCAAAAGTAGGAACTAACTGATCGAGTCCAAACTACGGTGCTTCAGCCTTGTAGGGTTCGAGCCGCATCGCGATCACAGCTACTCATTTTCCTAGAGAGTCGGGTTCCAATTTCTTGAAATTAAATGGCGATTTGAGGCGAGATTATGCCTAATTTTTAAATGGCATGGTGCTAACCGTGTTTGCATTTTGAAAGGAGCTCACTCCGGTTCTAAAACCTCTCCTGCCATCACACTTAGCATCGGAGGTTGCATGAGCAGTTCTTGAAACTCTAAAAATAGTAAACAAACCAAAGGGTTCAGGAGTCATCAAAATGCACAATTCATCTACATCATTCAAGCTGAGCAAAATGCAACACGTGAGACGTTATCCTGGTTTTCATGATCCCCGTACACTCCCTCGTTCTCCAAAGTAAACAATACATCGATTCCTCAAACTCAGTTGACAGTCTCATCGATATCATCAAACTCAGTTGACGGTAACCTTTCCTATCATACCGGCTCCTTGGTGGGGCGAGCAGTAGAAGGCGTACGTGCCTTTCTCGGTCAGGGTCACGGCGTAGGTCTCGCCGGGGCCGTTCAGCAGTTCCTCCTCCGGCATCGAGATCTTCGCCACGTCCACGCCGCTCGGGATCTCGTCCTCGTCGAACACCACGTTGTGCGGGAACCCGGCGTTGTTCTTGAACACGATCTTCTCGCCGGAGCTCACCGTGAAGTTGCTCGGCGCGAACACGAGCTCTCCCCCGTCACCCCCCAGGAGGACGTCGATCGCCATCGCGTTGCCGGCCAGGAAGGCGCTCGCGGCCGTGGCGACGGCAGCGGCGCCGATGGCGTCCTTCAGGGAGGCCCTCACGGCCAGCCTGGGGGCCAGGGGGGTGGCGGCGGGGACCCTGGCGGAGGCGGCAGCAGGCTTGGCGGGAACGGCGGCCTTGAGGCCGGTGAAGGAGGGGATGGCGACGGTGGCGGAGGTGACGGCGGCCATCACTTCAGTCTACTGCGGTTCAGTTGGTGTTACTTGCGGTTGTTTTTTGCGTGCTGAGGATGATGAAAGCAAAGGGGAGCGAAGAGGTGAGGAGGGTTATAACGTGATGAAGAGGGGGAGAGTTTGAGAGCGAGAGATTGTGATTGTGTGGTCAAGAGCTGGTAGCCATGAACGCGTGAAGATGATGAAACCATGGATGAGAGAGAGATCGTGAGGTGGAAGATGACCGTTATCTGAGAGGATCTCTCTCATTGGCTGAATATCATGATACCTCCTTCTGACGTGGCATGAGATGGATATGAGGACAAAATTTTTGGATGATGAAGTAGAATAATTATCTTACTAAGAATAAGTGCACTAAAAGTCCTAATGCGATTGAATCCTAAAACTTAAAAAAAAAATGCAATCAAGTCTTAAAATTTGTCACGAAAGTACAATCGAGTCCTAAAACTTTCAGAAAGTGCAATCAAGGTAAAAACTTATCAAATTAGTCCAATCAACTTTCTTGATAAATTTTAGTACCCGATTGCACTTTTTGATAGTTTTAGGACTTAATTACATTTCGTAACAAATTTAAGACTTCCAATGCATCCCTAAAACAATTATCTTACCAAGTTGTTACGTGAGAACCATGATTAATAGGGTTTATTAGAGGGTTAGGTGTGCAAGACTCATTTTTCATGGGACAGTCTCGAAATGTGATTTGAATACCACGACATATCCTAATTCGATGATTAGGAGCACACGATGCTCCAGGACAATCTCATATATTCTCGTAAGATGGATAAAATCGGGTAAGGCATATCACAGATTACACATAGATATCGTACTAGAAGATTAGCGGGAGAAATCGGGCTTCTCTCAAGGAAAATGATGGGTTAGGAAACAGATATCGCAATTTTCTCTCTTTGTTTTTTTTTTTTTTTCAATTGGACCTGATGGGCAACCTCAGAGAATTTGCATGGCTCGATTGCATCGGGGTCCATTCATTGGTACCGGATATTTTCGACGAAGAAGGTGACGCATCGCCTCACGAGGAGCACATATGAATGGGTTCGTCTCTTTCTCAAACGTTGGATGGGGACAAAAAAATGCTAAAGCTTCTTTGGATTTGGACAGACAACTTAAAATCCGGGAATTAGAGAGTGTCTCACGGCTTAGGATTGTGTAGGCCAGGATGAACACGAACAGAAGGGTAAGTAGCATATGATAAAAATCCCTATGTTACTCGCTAAGAACCCAAATAGTTTTTCCACCATTCAAGGCAATATTATGCCTGACAAAAATCCCAGACTCTTGCACATTGAGCTCTTACAGTATGCAAATCGTAGCGTGGCCATAAGAGGACTACGATGCAGGTCGTGTGCTTGAAGTTCAGACACAATCTTCTTCGCATCTGATGTGATAATTCATCGGCACTTCTGCACTCAAAGCATGCGAGTGCATTCACAGTGCGCGCACGAGATGACACGGAAGCCACAAAGACATGGACAATGGCAACGCACGAGCACATGCCAAAGGGATGCAACCAATGAGGGAACCGAGCATATAAAAAGAACTCGACCCAGGCTGCAATGCAAGAACTAGTCATCAGAGATGGCACAACACAAGTCCCATATAGAGGATAGGTAGTATGAAACTCCCAGCTCAATCTATCAGGAATATATAAGTTGATGACCTTGCCTCGAGCGCTAGGGAATTTTCCGAATGATGGGTGGGGAATCAATGCACTTAGCTGAAACCAGGCTCGAATGCTATGTGCACACAAATAGACACGAATAAACATGCGAGTGAGGGCAAGAGTGAGGAATGGTAATGACTGACATTTCCAGTAATGTTCCTGAGAGTTTCAGATATTTTTTCGTTGATGAAAAACTTGCTCGGAGTTGATCTCATCACAGCTGAGGCATCGCATACCACGAGAAGTGAATAAAAGGCGGAGCATCTGTAATGATATTAGTTTGCCAAAATATCAGGTATACTAAAACAAGAAAAATGGGTGGCCAATGTAAAAATGAGAAAAGCCTCTTCTTAAGCACCACAAGCATAGATAGTTATCTGGAAAAGGACCAGGAGGTCTAAGCAACATTTTACAGCAGTACTAATTTAACCAAAACAAAGAGATGATCCAGCTGAAAACATGGAGGATGAATGATCCAGCAATCAGGAATGCAGGAAAAAAAAAAAACAATCCTACCACAAGTGAAATTGATCATACTCACTCCTTCTCAGTCAATAAGCAATGGAAGAACCACAGATGATGCACAGCCAAGCATCAAGATGTCCATGTGAGCTAATATGCTAACATTCTGTATCGTACTGCCATCTCCCAACTAGTTGTAGGCATCAACCAAGAGATACAAGTTAATCTCTAAGGGCAGAATTATAGTAGCCAAAGCTTGTGGTAACTGCACATGCAACTGATTTCCACAAAAGAAGGCTTCCTTCTCAAAGTGGAATGATTTCCAATATGAGATGGAAAGACAACTAAAGATTGGCTTCTAGTACGAGACTGGAGAAAATTTGCTACTTCTGATTTACCAAAATCAAGAACTTCGCAGCTCATAACAATGCAAAACATCTGACTTGATGCCTCATCTGAGACTGGTAAAGCTGAAACCAAATTTCGGTACAGCTCACCGGAGCTTTTGTTAAATAAGTTCATGCATACAACAGTACATATTATGGCTAACCAGCTGAGAATATTGACCGTCTTGCTGGAGGCCAAACATTTCTAGCTTATCAATAATTATGAGGAAAACATTTAGACAACCGATAGAAAGTGCATTTCCAGTAAAAAGATTAAGCAGTCATGGAGTGTTGAAAAGGCATCATTACATCTTTTTATGTTGTAAATGCATTTACAAATGGAAGAGAACAAGACACAAAGATGTCTCCTTCTCGATTTCACTCTGATATCTCATGCGACAGTTCAATTGTACAGCCAGTACTGCCGACTTCTGGAGTTACTCCCTAAATCATGGTACACGGATGATGGTTGTTATGGTTTGCAGGATCTTTCGTTGAGGGGATTTTGGCTGCATAAATGGTTAAGTTCAAATGATATAACAGAGTGCAGAAGAATGATAAATCACTTGCTGGAACTAGGGCGTAATGGGAAGTTAAAATACGAGTATGTCCTTGCTCACCACTATTTACTCAAATGACTGTATTTCGGTCTCCATATCTGTTAAGTTATTTTCGACAGTATTTATCTTCAAGATAGTGTGTTTGGATTGTGGATGCGTATGAATTTCCTCAAAACTGCAGGACGGAGCTGGTTCCTTTTAGCGATTTCCACATTGCACTGGATAAATCACTCGGGAAACTCGGAAGCCATCCTAAGCAAGTCCTAAAGTTCTAAGGCTACTGAATACTAAGGGCGGTGAAAAGATGGAAAATTTCTGCGTCATATGCTGGACAAAATAGCAAACAGAGATGCTGTCACATTAGCCAGTAGTTAGAATTTCAGAGAGAACAAAAAGAGCAGCATCCACAGAGACTTCATTCTTGATCAACCACATAGAAATCTTTGTAAGACATCTGAATTCATACATAAATAGTTTTGAGCTAGACAAATCATTTCGGATACGAAGAAGGAAGACTAAGCTAAATATCCTGATAAATACAGAATTCGCCAATTTATAGTAAACACACTATATGATAGATTAAGCCCAATGTGATATCGGCAATCTGACATCTCCATTCCAATAATGATGGAGTACTATCTCCACCCTTAAGGACAAGGCAATCTTAATCTCTAACTAAATATATTTTTGATCAATACGCGTTTCATTGATGATGTATAATGTAATTATAAATACACAGAGCCCATCAAAAGTGAGGATGCAAACTATATACACAACAATTCACAAAATCGCGGGGAGAATGTACAATTTGGCACTGCTAATCCCACTAGATTGGAAATACATCATTGGTCTCATCACCATCATCAGTAATATTCAAGTAGTTGAAGCCAACATCCCACTTGGGTTCCCTGTAGTTAAAGCTTGGGTTCACGTAGCACTTCATCTCATGAAACAGGTTCAGATTGTCCACCAGCTTGTGAAAGACATTGCAACCACAACACTGCAAAAGACACCACAAAACCCATTTCTTTATCCTAAGCTAAATGATTAATCACGCTGAAAAATCAGCTATGTGATAAATATAGCAAATTGCCCTTTTCTATCATGCAAACTCATCATCATCAGCGGAAAAATCGAGTCTTTTTTTTTTTTTTTCTCTTCGGCATCAGCAAATTACCTGAACAAAGACGGTGCCATCAGTGTAGGCGTGCGGATTGATGGCGCGAGTGGTTCGCTGACCGCAGACGTTGCAAGTGAAGGCGACTCGCATCCGCCGGCGAGGCGATTTGGTGAAGAGGGACCACGGGAAGGTGGACACCCTGTCCGTACCCGATCCTCCCTCGGCACCTGTAGGAGCCACGGGACCTTCCATTCCAGAATCAGTGGTCCAGCCTCTCACGGAAGCCGCACTCAACACCAATCCCATGGCCGCCTCCTAGTTCCGATCGCAACCAAAACCGTGAGCCACTCAATCACACCGATCGCTCCGAAACTCAGCCAATATCGAAACTCCCGTCACCGATCAAAGCGATCGCCGCGTGAAAATTTACCTTGGAGAGAGTGCGATTGCTGAGGACGGGGAGCAGGTTCGGCTCGCTGGAGTCCGAACGGAGGCCGGAATCGCTCTCGTTCCCTGTCGGAAAACAAAACAAAAGACCGTCCTCGTTAGACGGAGACATGGAGGACGACGAACGGGAACGGGGCGGAGATGATGAGAGCGACGAGGGGGAAGAGCTCTTTACTCTTGGAGGGCGCGAGGAAGCGGACGAATCTGGCGGGAGAGTCGTTCGGTCTGGCCGGAGAGAAGATGGAGAGAGGCGGCGACGGCGGCGAAGCGGAGAAGAAGACGGTCGCGGCGGAGGAGGCGGAGGAGGAGGCGAGAGCTTCCATGGCGATGGCTTGTCGCAGAGGGAGAGAGAGAGGCCGGAGGGCGCTTGCCTTTGCTTTTGTGGTTAATTTGATTCGAAACTGAATTTTCAGAAGCAGGAGGAGGTTCAGAGGAGAGGACAGCCACTAACTTAAATGTTGGAAAATTTCAAATAA